ATATACTGTTGTTTGTTTGTTTGTTAATTAGTTAGTTAGTTTGTTTGCTTGTTTTAATCAATTTTAAATCATGCTTTTTATTTGTTTGTGTTTCTAATGTCTCTGTAAAGCACTTTGAATCACCTTGTTGGTGAATTGTGCTATACAAATAAACTTGCCTTGCCTTGATGTACCAGTCCCATATCTGCCACTGGCATTAATATCTGTCCATATGCATGATGGAGGCTTCTGAAGGAGCAGCGGTTTTGTGGTTTTTAGAAATGAAAAAATACATAGTCAGTAATGGATTTCCCAAAAAACAAGAACATATTTGTTTGGATTTCCAGTCAAACGAGCAAAAGGTGACAGTATATAGCAAGTATGCAGGTGTTGAGGGTGCAGGTGCGCAGATGAGGGGGGTGTTGTTTATACATGTCTGTTAGCTGGGGGATGATTTTTCTAGAATCTGGGAAATGGAGGAAGAACACACACTGGTCTTCGATTCATGTTACATTCACTGCCTTTACTTCAGGTTGGAACTTGTGCCGTCTAATGAATACCTGTGGAGCGTTGTTGAGCAGGATGTTTGTGCATGTGCACGTGTACACACACACACACACACACACACACCTCCTGCACTGTTATAGCAGTACTGGTATTACGTCGGGTGATGTATTGTAGGCTTTGCAGCACAGGATTGCTTTGTGCATGTGGATAGGTACATAGACATTGTAATTCTGGTTACTGCCTAACTATGTTATCTGCTAAGTTGTAGCCATAGTGAGGAAGGCATGTGGAGTATGTGGAAGAAACTGAGCATTAGACACTGCTCTGAGCTAGTACTGAAAGGAACACAAACATAGCCTCATTCATTCAAATTACAAAAGTGTGTCAAGGGTTACATATTTCATGTTAAGCAGAGCCCAACCTCATCAGAGCCTATGTAAACTATGCTGTTGTACTTGAATATAGAACAAATCTAGAGGATTGTTCAGGTTGTCTACTTAACTGGGAGTCAAAGTACTAGTCTGGGTTTGATATTATCCAAAAGACCTCAAGTT